ATGGTGGCTTCAGAATTCAGTCTCTTCACTAGCTTCTCTTGGCTATCATTTTAGGAGAAAAAACAAATTCTGTACCTCAGACCAAAGTAAATGCAGGACAGCATGGAAAAATCTCTTCAAATAGGCAGCCAAGCTGTGGTAAAATGAGGGGTCAGAAGGGAAGGAAGCAGGGTCAGATGGCCTGATCACAAGGCTTGAACACAGCTGGGACTTGTATGAAGAGGAAGCACTCTAGTTTCAGGAAGCAAAAGGGGAAGATAGGCTGCTCCCCACCATTCCACTTGTGAAATTGAATGGAAGTGCTCCCAACACAGGGCTTGAACCCAGCTGAGAAACCACAAGAACTCCTTGGGAGCAAGAAATCTACAGGAATTTTGTGCTGGGAAGAACATGAACTCTCACCGGAAATCTGTCTGCTTTTGCATCAGACGTCAAGCAGAATCTGTGCATTTCTAAAGTACCTCTCCCAGTGCAAAAAAGATGAGATCTGAAGAGAAGAAATGTTTTGTGTTTCGGTCACATGTCCTAATTGCTTAGAGTAGTCATTTTGAGGTTTTAAAGATTCCCAAGAGGGAAGGTCCTTATTTTAGAGAAAATTTGACTCTGGAGAGATGAACAACAGGATCGTGTAGCAAGGGCTTCTTACAGGTATGTCTGTCATTTTCCTTAACTCTTAATTGCACTAGCAATGTGTTGAAAGAATTATGGGGAAAAGTCGTTGATTTTCCAGAATGGCACCAAGAAAGAGACAGCATTACTAGAGACTGAGGGATCAAGAAAATAATTTTTATTCAAAATAATTCACTTTAGAAATTCTTTTACAAACAGTGGTATTACATGGAGGTGAGGTAGCATTCATTTTCATATTTCTCGACAAGCCCATGCTTTCTGCTGCTTATATCTTTCTACCCATACCTAATGACTTAAGCTGCTCTTAAGGGTTCGAGATTCCCCATGTATGTTCTAAAATGGGTGCTGCTATAACTATTGGGCAGAATCTGCAAATTATTATAGTGCATAAAAATACATTCTCATGCTCAGTCTAATAAGCTCTTTTCAGCTAGCATATGTGAATTTAGAGTTAATTTTCATTCTGGCTACTGCAATGCTTTGAGTTTTATTTTTATTTATTTATTTATTTATTTATTTTTTTGAGAGTTTTTTTTTTTTTTCTATAGGGCACGTGCAC